ATCCCCTCCCCCCAATACTAAACCCCCCCACGCCCCTAATATGAAAGACTTCCTATATATTGTAATATACCACATTATGGGAGGATTTATGTTTGGGGGGCAGGAGGGGGGGGGGTGGGCATATTAGGGGGAAAGGATTAACCAGACGCTGGGAGTCTCAACACACGAGGAGGACAAGAAAAAGCAAACCAAGCCAAGCCAGAGCCTCAGAAACCCTCAGCTCAATGATGAGCATGCCACCGCGAGTGCATGCAAACCGCTCTGAATACTATCCTCGCATGATGACAAAACTCATGAGGCTCGGAATCAGATAACATCAAGGATTCATCGATGTCTTTGTGTTCAAGCGCACCCATGCTACCCGCTTATTGATCCAAGGCCTCAAGATCCGTGAGCGTAAGCAGAGATCTTTTAACCCCCCAAAACCTGGCCTCTTGCGCCACGATTCGGGTCACCACCTTCGTCCTTGAGACAAATGAAATGTGCCGCAGCAGTCAAAGTTCTAAGTTGTAGCTAGAAGTACTTGAGCGTTGAAAGTTGAGTCTGCAAAAACTTGAGGCAAGAGTATCTTCACACGGATGGCGCTTTGCCGCCTCAAGCGAATCATGGGGGACAACACGGCAACTCAAACTGAACAAGCCCTCTTATGCACTTTCTAAAAAGGGCGTGCATAGCAAAAAGATGGCCGAAGCTCTGCCACCTTCCGCTAACAGAAAGAAGCCTTCAAAGTAATATAAGCATTATACCTTCGACAAGAGCAGCACCACACCATTATCAGCGAAAGCACCTGATCGAGCAACACGGCCTTCAACGCAACTTTTCAACACCCTGAACCCTTGGTCGCCCTGACTCCCAACATCATGCTTCGTTCATCCAAGCCCGATGCTCTGCATACTTCACCTGACTGCATTTGGGCTGCACGGCTTGGGCTTGGGATTTCAGCTGGCAAAGGATGTGTTGGCTGGCAGTTCAGCATCATTGCCGAAATATGAGTATGGCTAGCAACAACAATAGCTGTGCATGCTTGACCAACCTGCAGCCATTCTAAATAGATTGGGGATCTGGGCTTGGGCTTCACAGTGCAAGGCACGCGTTTCAAATTGCAAGCGCCAGGGCCCGGTCTTATTTTGGGGTTTCAAGGCCTGGTTTCAGGGTAAGGGGTTCAGGGGTTGGAAGCGAGTATGTAGGGTTCTCACGGGGGTGCACCAGGATCCGTGGGGTCCGGAGTACTTGCTTTCATACGCTCTTACCAGGCTCGAGGACCCTCCCCTGCGATTGGGCAAGCCGAGACTTGTCACGCTCTTGCTTAGGGTCGCACGTTTCCACCTTCTAGAGAAATTAACCTACCTGACGACTTGTGAATAAGGATTCCAGAACTTCCGCCTAGTAAGGTAGCGTAACAGTGAAGAACAAACTAAATACACAACACCACGCAGGGCGCAAGCATTGAGTCTCAGAAGAACAGTGGCCTCCTCATGCTCCTCACCGAGCTTATTGATCCGCTGCCGCAGGGCCTGAAAAGGGCATGGCGTTGTTAGCTTCAGACATAGTAGTTTCCATTTTCCA